AATGTTTGTCAACACTGCAAAATAATCATTATCTACATTATTTGAAAGTTTAGGATATACAAGATGTGGTTCTAAGTCATATACATATGTAGTAATGCTTTGTGATTGTGTATCCCGATTATCAAATAAGAAGTGTAGCTGTGTCCCATTTTAAAGATCAGAAAACTCAAGTACAGAGATTCTCATTCATATTCACCATTTCAGGTAGCACCTATATGGCAATGATTCATCAAATAATTACCCTTCAATCTAGACCTCTCCTCTGAGCTTCAGACAGCCAGATCTCTCAGAGTCTCAGACACCTCAAAACTCAGTGGGATCCAACCAGATCTGCTCATCCCCTCAAACCATGTCACATTCTAGTGTCCCCTTGTTCTTGATGAATGTAGCCAACTAGATGATACAGCTGGAATCCAAGGAGCCCTCTTAATTGCTTCTTTTTTCCTGCTTCTACCTATAGGGTATTGATTTAACATTCGAGCAGCCATCTTAAATGTTAACCACCATCTTATGAGATAAGTTTCACTTTCCTGTACTTCCTCTTACCTGAAGTCCCCCCATCCCCATTAGTGATCTACTCTATGGTACCATAACCCTAAGCCAATCCCAGAAGGACACAACCCCTTTGCTCTGGAAAGCCCTATGGTACCATGGACCTAAGCCAATCCCATGCTATTGCCCTCCCGTCTCCCTCTGACACAAGCACCCCAGAGCCTATCCCATGGCGCCACAGCTACAACTCCAACCCTTCCCCACAAAAGCTGAACTCCCGAACATCTTGGGGCCTCTCTCTTCTCTAGAGATGGGCTTTATTTGTCAGCTTTGACAAATAAACTTTCCTGTGGATCTCTGCCTGACCTCCATCCTTCTTTTCTCGCTGGCCCCTCTCTTGCTTTCTCACTTTCCTTTCACTCCCCATGCCCATTCTGTCTAAAGATGATGGGATCTGGCTGTTTCTCTCCATCTGTATCCTCTATCACAACTCAAAGTCCAATTTATTAATAAGATCATCTGAAATGTGTTTTCTTTAATAGCTTCCTCAAAAACCCATTCCTTTCCACCCCACCCTCTTTCAGTCTCCAAACTGAAGCCCACACACATGAATTTTGTCACACCCTCCCCACCCCCATTCCCAGACAATTCTTAACTTCTCAGTGGGTTTTCTTGCCCCTGGGTTAAAGTGAAGTAAAAATTGTGAAAGTCAGAGCATCTTAATTAAGATGATAGGTGCGTAGAGTCACTAATAGTTCTGGCTTATTCTTGTTGTTGCTTACTAATAACACTTCTTGGATGAGGAAATTAAATACCTACTTGTAGGGTATTCTTCATTGAAAAATAGTGACTTGTATAGAACAAATTTCTAAAGTTGTCTGATTCAAATTCCATGGGCCTCTTCAATGTGTTTTGCATTATTTCATTGTTTTTGAGAGGTTTTTTTTTTTTTTTTTTTTTTTGGTTTGTTTACAAACAACTGAGAAATACAAGCAATTCTCATTTATTTTTAATTGATGCATAAAAGTATAAAATTGCACATGTTTCCAGACATGTATAAATTGCATAATGTTGTAGTCAGGTTAAACCTATTACATCCTCACTTACCATTTCTATATGGTGAAACTTTTCTAGCTCTCTGACATGTGTAGTACGTGATAGTACCCACTGATCAATATTTCTCCATCCCTGGCATGGGGATGTAGATCAGCAATAGAGTGCTCCACCAGTATGTGCCAGGCCCTGGGTTTGATCCCCAACACCTCAAAAAAAATATTCCCCATCCCTCCCCTCCCCTTACTCCCTGGAGCCTGTGATTACCACCATTGTACTCTCAATCTTTATGACATCCACATTTTGAGATTCCACCTGTGAATGAGATCACGGTGCTTGTCTTTCTGTGCCTGTCATATTTCCCACCTCAATTCATGTTGTTGCAGACGACAGGATTTCCTTTTTTATGGCTGAGCAGTATTTCATTGTGCATATGTGCCACATTTTCTTTATCCATTCAGTTCATCAGTGGATGGATACTTTGGTTGTTTCTATTTCTTGAGATAGCTGGATGATGGTTCTATTTTTAATTTTTTGAGAAAGCTTCATACTGTTTTCCATACTGGCTATATGCATTTATATTCCCATCCACTGTGCATAAGAATTTCCTTTTCTCCACATCCATGTAGGGGCTAAGGAAAACAGTAAAGAAATTCCATGTCCTTGTGTCTGCCATGACCTTCATATGTCCTTGATGAAACATCTAAAAAATGCTGCATTCTGAGTGGATTTGGCTCCCTCAGGAGAATTCTGAATCTTTCACTTATCTCAAGGTTGTCACTCCTTCTCTTGGGGATGTGGCCAGTCTTTTGGGGGATGAATTGTCCTTGAGAGTCACAGTTGTTAGTCACAGTTTTTTTGTTCTTAGTTGAATTTAAGGAGCCTTACTGGGAAATAAAACTTTCAAGTAGGATGTTCTGCCCAGGGACTTCCCAGTCAAGGACTCCCAGTTATAAGATGTCAGGTGTTAGTGTTTCCCCTGATCTGGTGATGTGTTTTGTTCTCTTTCTCTCTTGACTATCACTTTTGCTTTTGCTCTTGCTTCTATGTTATTACTAAAATAAATGTTACCTTGTATAAAGAGAGTGTCTTTATTGTCTATTGGATCCAACCTGCCAAATTCAGCAGCTGCACATATATACGCTTCAACATTACACCATGCCAGCACTTATTTTCTTTAGTCTTTAATACTAGCCATTCTTGTTTTCTCTGATATGTGAATGCTAACCCACAACAAGGGGTGGAGGGAGAGTAGAAGTTCAGTGGATTAGAGAAAGTGCAAAGAAGGGAAGTGGGGAGGGAGACAGAAATAGGAAAGACAGTGGAATGAATCTGACCTATATGAATACGCCACAATGAATTTCACCATCATTGTACATCCATAAGACTGGGATCCTAATTAGAATAAGATAGATTCCATGTTTGTCTAAATATATCAAATAGATTCTACTGTCATGTATAAGAACAACAAATTTAAAAATTTTTAAATATTTTTATTTTAAAATTCTTACTCAGGTGAAGTGATCTCATTGTGGTTTTGATTTGCATTTCCCTGATGATTAGTGATGTTGAACATTTTTCCATGTACTTGTTATCTATTTTTATGTTATCTTTTGAGAAATGTCTATTTAGATCTGTTATAGATCTGTTGCCCATTTTTTAATCCAGACTGCTATTTATTTATTTAGCTAGTGAGTTTTTGGAGTTCCTTGTGTATTCTGGATATAGATCCCTTGTCAGATGTATAATTTGCAAATATTTTCTCCCATTCCTTAGATTCTCTTTGCACTTTGATGAGTACTTCCTTTGCTATGCAGAAGCTTTTTAAATTATTTTTTTTCCATTTTGGCTTTTGTGATCTTGTCCAGAAAATCCTTACTGATTCTGATGTCCTGAAGTGTTTCCCTTAAGGATTGTTTTTTTAAAAGCATTTTATGGATACATAATATTCATATATCTTTTTTGCAGTGCATTATGGACCTAGGGATTCATTTTTAAGCCTTAGTAAGGGGTGGCTAACTGGTTTCTTAAGGTTTACTTGGCCTGTACACAAGAAAGAGTAAACTAAAGAAAGAAAAGTTTTCAATTTAAAATTCTGGGTTTCCAGGGACAGTTGCCACAGTTGCGATGACACATGATCTACCTGGAATCTTTGGTTCTTGGGACCCCACCTGGCAGAAGAGGCATTTCAATGCCTTGTCTAACGGGGAGGAAGAAAGGGACAGGTGAAGGTTTCCTTAGTTGATAAGATTGGAGCTTCATTTTCTGTAGGGTTGTGTGAGATCATTTCTAAAACCTGACTAGATTTAACTGCTTTCACCCAGAATGAACTGCCATCCTCCCTTTCAAAGATCAAGTTGGTCCCAGTCACCACTTCCTATTCAGACCCCGGAAGGCTCATAATTTAGTCTGATAATTGCCCTGGGAAAACAGAGCCGAGGAGACAATAGCTCTTCCAATCTCCTCTTTCTAAGCCGAGTAATATTTCCAACGTCACTTTCCCAGCCTCTAATATCGTTATCACGGGCCTACATCAGAAAACTGTAAAAACAGTATGACTAGGAGCTCTTGATTATTTTGTCTGAAAACGATGAATGGAATGGAGATCTTTGGGCAGAAATAGCACAGAGCTTAGGGGATGAGAGCCTGGTAGCCCCGTCACATCCGGAGGTACAAATAACCACTTGGGTAGGTGATGCAAAGGAATCTAAAAACCGTTTGCAACTGGGGGTCGGTGGCTGTCAAGAGCCACATACTAATGCCATTCCCTGGCTGCAAACGCCCCAGGGCAGAACCTGCCTTTTGTCAATTTGATTTGGAGTCTGCAGAAAGCTGCCTTTATGTAAATGAATGTCTCCTTTGCCTAGCGGAGGTTTCCGGGCCTCTCTCCCAGAGGTCGTGTAGTAAATAAGAATGCTCGCCTGCCGAGTGCCTGCCCTTGGGAAGATGCTGACTCCAGGAGCTTATTCTTGGGCCTCTGTTCGAGACCCAGTGGCTAGGACAACGACTTTGGTTTTCGGCTCTGCAGACAGAAAGGGAACAGACAGCCGAGGCTCCTCCCTCAGGGATGCTAGAGGGGCTGCGTCGTTCCCTGAGTCTGCTGCTGGCTCGGGGCCCCGGGCCGTGGCACCTCGCGCCGCGCGGGTGGTGCACCTGGGCCTGGCCTCACCGTCCGCCTTCGGGTCCAGCCGCTCACCGGGGGCCACCCTCGCCCTCCGCAGCCTCGCGCTCCTGCAGTCTCCTGATGGCCAGCCATCGCTGCGCCGCCGCGGCTCTCGCCTCGCAGGTACCCCGGACCAGGCGTTTGCGGATGGGGGGTGGGAGGGAGGTTGGAACCAGCATCTCTGAAGCTTGCGGGCGTGACCGCACGTAGGACTGCGGTTTCTCGCGCCACCCTCCTTTGCCTCACTCCACGTTCCGCCCAAGCGGAGGCGGCTCCTCTTCCCGCGTCCTTTCCTTAAATCCAGACTCCCAGCCTGCCAACTCAGCCTTGTCGAGGTCCCTGCTGGCCAAGTCTAATATCCTGCTGGGTGATCCGCTCCGCAATGGGGATGTGAGGTCCTCACGGAAGCTTTGAGAGGGAGGAGACGGGAGCGAATTTCTGGGCTGCAAGAATCCACAGCCACATCCTAAATACTTAGACCGCAGTCTTCTACTCCCTTGGATCCCTTTCTTGCCTCGCTTCTGCATTTGATTAGCAAATTGCCCCCCCCCCCCCACCTCCCCGTAGGTACCTTTCCCCAATTAGTCCCTCTTCCCTGTATCTTTATCTTTTCACCTCTCCTAATATCACAAGTATTGTCCTTAAAGTGTGGGGTTTGGTGTGATGTGGATGCGGATGACCCTGCTGGTGAAGAAAATGGTTCACGCCGGTCCCCATCCCTTTTACATTCTGGCTATTGTGCGCCCATGATTGACAAGACCACGAGGCTGAGCGCGCCCTGGAGATTTTTCTATAAATGGCGTTAAAACCCTAGTCTAGACGATTTACTCGGATAGAAAGGAGACAATTACCTTCTTGTTCTTTGTTGGTGAACCCTGGCATCAGGGCTGACCTGGAATTTAACAAGTTTTCCCTAAGCTAGCAGAGGAGGACAAAAACAACCCAGACCGCGCGGGCAGGGTAGGAAGTGAAGGGCAGTACTCTTGGGAGGCTCTTGTTTGGGCTGGTGCCTGGGCGTTCGATTGACAGATCATTTTTTTGTTCACCTGGGTACCGGAACAGAGAACCCTGTGTGATGGTGAGTATTATTGATCATCCCAAACCCCCGTTAATCCTTTTTGGTTTTACTTAATGGAGGTTTAATTCTTCTTTAAGGACTGCAGTAACGGATGCTCCGCTGAATACCTTGGAGAAGGAGGATCAAAAGAGGTGGTGGAGACTTTCAGGGTAAGTTGCTAGCCAGAAATTATGTGTGTAAAACAACATTCAACTGAGTAAATCCATTTTTTTTTTTTTTTTTTTGAGATTTGGGGGAATGTTCACTGTGTGGGTTATATAGTAACATTTTAAATACCACTTGGGAAAAAAGTCATTTGGGAAGCAATAATACCATTCATCATATAAAAAATTACCTAGCACCTAATCACTTATTTTATTTCACGAATCATAATTTTTTATTGAAAATAAGCAATTCCTAAATATTAACCTGGATGTTTTTCTGATTGTATAAGTATAGTCTTCACTGCGCTTATGGAAGAAGTTCACTGTGATTTTTCTCTTTGTCATACTTTATAGTAAAAGTGTTGCATTTTGTTCTTTTCTGTCTTAATTACATGGTTTATATATTAAATAATCTCATGCTTCACAAGGGAATAGTGAGGAGGAAATGAGATAAGAATCTGGTAAAAGTACTTTGAAAAATCATACAAATCCAATTGGAACATATATTATCTTTCTCAATAAATCATTATCCACCTCCCCCAACCATGGAAGATTTTGCTTCTCTTTGTGCCTCATTCTGCTCTCCTGCCTGTTTCTGTCACTGTCAATTGTCATTCACAGCACAGAGTGTCCTAATGATCTCACATCCTGGCAGAGTTCAGAGAGGGAATGAAACGTGACTCATCAATTTCACACATACTCAGCTCTTAACAGTGTGCCTGGGACTGTGTTAGATACTGGGAATCAGAAGATAGATTCAAGATAAGGTCTATGCTCATGAATTTTTCAAGAACCAAAATATAACAAAATATACCAATTTCCTTACTCAAGTTCCTGAATTTTATTTGTGCACATTATTACTAGTGCTTTAAAGATAATATTCATCATAACTCTGTAACAACAGATTTAATTTACTACACTATAGAGACTAAGCACTGATACATTTGAGGATTTACATGGGTCCTTAAAAAAATGAGGTAAAAAAACTCTCACTTGATAATCTTTAAGGCTTGTTTTATATGAATTCAGTAAGTAAATTCCTCAAAGGAAGGTGGTAAGTAAGTAATATCTGGAAGACCTTCATACTTTCATACAAAGAAGCATTCTTTACAAAGTAAATAATTAATTATAATATAAGTGATCTATTTGTTTATTTAGATTTCTACATATAAGAGTTTAGTTAAAGAAGAAATATTTATTGACACTCATGTATTTATATATTAAAACATGACTTTCAATGGATGAATTCATAGCACATATGTGATGGGGCAAATGTAAAGTTATTTTGATAATTTGGGGAAGAAACATGATGGATTTTACAGGATCATCTTGGCCTTTTTTTGTGTGTGCCAGGGATTGAGTTAGGGCCTTGTACATGCTCAGTATGGTTTTCTATCTCTGAACTATACTCCCAGCCCCAATCTTTGCTATTGACAATTTTCTACCTCTTTATTAATCTTATCTTATTCATAATATTTTCTTGCCTCTCTGTTCTCTCAAGTAGATTTCATATTGTTTTTCTCTTCCCTGTTAAGATGAGGTCATTTTAAAGTGAGAATGCAGTCTTTTAATGGAATTCAGCAATGAGATGTTTTATTACATATCCTAGGGAATCTTCCTGTGAAGTTCAGGGTCCTCTTTATTTGAAAGAGGTCAGCTTTCCATTTCTTCCAATTCCATCTGACTCACATATCTACACAGAATGAAACACTCCAAATCTGTAATTTTCTTCTTTAGACCTTCTCATTAGGTTTTAGGAGAGTATCTCTACAGACAATGAAGATAGATAGCCTCAAGGCTTTCTGAATGGAGTAAGAAAAGTACATAGAACCTATTGTATAATAAATTTCCAGTCCATCAGTAATTCAGGCTTGGTCTTTGACAGTTTTAAGTGTTGTGGGCAGTGCAGGAAAGTACAAATGTGTAAGCAAAGGATGTTGGCTGAATTCTGGATAAGAGAGTCCCCAGGTGCTTTCCAGCAAGTGGTACTTCCCTGCTATGGGCTTCCCCATTTCAGAGCAAATTGCTATCTACCACAAATATTGAATCAGGAAAATTTTAATATGCCCTGCTTTTGTCAGTATGTCTTGTCATTTCACAATCAGTCATTGTAGCATTCCAGATTCTTCTGTAAACATATGGCATGAAAAATCCTGACTTTGAAGTTATCAGACAATGTGGAGCATCACTTTACAAACTCTGTTATTTTAAAACCCATCAGTTAGGGAAATGTAGAAAAAAGAAAAGGGCTTTTTGAAAACACTGATAAAAATTGTTTATAAAATTATTTTTTCCCCTTAGAGCCTAATTTAGTATCTATTCAAAACTAGTCACATACCTTCAGTTAATATTGTTTGTTTATTTATTTTTATTTTTTTAATGATATGGGATTGACCCCAAGGGCACTATGCTATTGCACTATATCCCCACTGCCTTTTTTTTTTTTTTTTTAATTTTGAGACAGAGTCTCCTTATGATGTCCAGGTTGGCCTCCAACTTGCAATCCTATTGCCTCAGCCTCCCAAGTAGTGGGAATTATAGGTGTGGACCACTATGCTCTGCTATTAATTTACTTTTGAACTCATTCAGCTATATCACCTACTTGTTTTAGTATATTTAGGTAATTTCTTTGAGGTCAGGTTAAAAATTATTATTTTTAATTTCCAGACTTGTAGAAATTTTCACAAAGGAAATTAGAGTTCTTCATGAAATTCTAAAGTCACCCAATTATGTATTACTTTGAAAAAATTTGTATCCCTATGTACAAATCAAAGTTAGAACATTATTATTCATATCATTGAGAAATCACATCTTAAAAAAAGGTGTTGTAACTAACTAGAACAAATAATAATAATTTTAAAAAGAGTGTTATGGTCTACTGAAGTAGAATAAATGTCTGGAAATTCAATCATTTATATTCCATATTCAGAATTTTAACTATTATGAGCAATTTATAATTAGATGAACATTAAGCTGCATATAACAAACCTTATTCTATATCTCTGCTTTGCTATTAACTTCATCTCCTCGGACCAGTGGGTCTTTATGTGTGCTTCTAGAGGTATTTTGTTCATTTTTTGTGGTGTTAGGGATTGAATTTAGAGCCATATTCCAGACAAGTGCTCTACCACTGACCTACAACCCAGCCCTAGAGGTATTTCAAGGAAAGGACTCAGAAAACAAAATTACATGTAATGGACCATGATCATCTCAATATTGGCTGCACATTGGATTTAGCTGTAGAAGCTTTTAAAAAGTCTCATCATTTCCATTTCATAACTGAATCAGAACCTCAGAGGGGTGGGGGATGGAACTTATTTTATTCATTTTTAAGCTACACAGGTGATTCTAACTTTGTAGCCACATTACCTTGCTTGAAGATCTCATCAATTTGAAAGACGGATTGGAAAATCACTGATGCTGAGGAGGAAGTGTAGCAACTCACAGAATAAAGCTCAACACTACTCAGATTCTTGTATTTTACCTCCTGTGAACTGCCTTTCCCCTTCCTGGTTTGCTTCTTCATACCTCAAAATCAGTAAGAAATTTTAAACACGGTAGACCTACCTCTACTATTATCCTCAATGGCTCCTTTGATTTGCCTGGAATAGAGTGATAAACTAGGCTTACTTTAATTGTTGGCAGCTTATTGTAAATATTTCTAAGGAAGAAGGAAGATGGGATACAATCTTAGTTGAATAGAGTCAACGCTTGCAGAAAACTGGAATGTCTATCAGTATAGCCAGTAGAATGAACTAAATGGCTATATGAGCCCAGCCCTTGCCGATCCCTTTTCTGGCTCCAGTAGCTGCAAGACTTCTGTGACCTGTCTCCTACCACTTTATTTATCCACATTTTTTACATTCCTGCCACACTGGGTATGTTAGTCAGTCTTTGTTGCTGCGACCAAAATACCTGACAAGAACAATTTAGAGGAGGAAAGATTTATTTGGGTTTAGGGTTTCAGAGAATTCTCTCCCTGGTCAGCTGGCTCCAATGTAGAAACAACATGGAGGGAGAGGAGGTGAGCAAAGGTGCTCAGCAAGTGGCAGCAAGAAGCAGACAAGAGAAAGAGAAGAAGGGGCCAAAGTGAAGATAAATCCTTGCTGCTTTGGGGACCATGCTTTTAACACATGAGCTTTGGGTGGGGGGGACATTGCAGATTCATACCATAACACTGGGGTTTTTGCTATTTCTTAAACATTCCATGTTAGTTCCTACCTCAGGAACCTTGTCCTTGGCTTTGATTGCCTAAATTACTTTGCCCCTAGATTTCTACATGGCACATCTTCTTTCTCCATCCAAGTTTCTGCTCAGATACAACCTCATCTCATTAGTGAAGCCCTCAATAAACCTTCTAAGACAAGCATTCTCTTTCCCACTCTATTTTCTTTCTTTCTTTTGTGGTGGTGCTGAGGATTGAATCCAGGGCTTTGTGCATGCAAGGCAAACACTCTACCAACTGAGCTATATCCCCAGCCCTCCCACTCTATTTTCTTCAGTTGCTTTGATTTTCTTTATAGCAGTAATCACCTTGACAATTAGTTGTTATCTGTTTATTTTTTTTTTATTTCTCCTCACTAGGAGAACAAGAACCTGATGTTCCTTAAGATCTATAGCAGTACAGGTACATAGTAGGTTAAAAAAAATTGTTAGTTTGAATGAATAGTAATTACTAATCACAGTTTGTGCCTGTTCATGGCTGACAGAGAACTTGCCCAAGCAGGGAAGTTTGAGATTTGTGCACTATTGATACAACCTGTGTAGCGCTGTGTAGTGCTGGTGCAGCCAATGTTTATTGAAGGTAAAATACTAAGAATAATAAGGGAGAAATTTAGAAGAGCAAGCAAGGTGGGGAAGTTACCCTACATTTATTTGGTATGAAACAAAATCTTGGTTTTGTTTTAAAAATATTCTTATGTAGATTGTCATTGTCATAGCTACCATTACCATTTCATGGCAGGAAGAGAATTATAGACCTTAGGAATGCAAAAAAGTTTAAGGAT